ATTTTGCTAGAAGCTGGGAATGGACAACAGGGGATGGATCACAGGATGATTGCCTGTTCTGTTCATTCCCTCTGGGGCATTGGCCACTGACAGAAGACTGAACACTGGGTTAGATAGACTTTTGGGCTGTGTCTAGATTACACCCCTCTTTCAACAGAGGGATATAAACCCGTGCTTCATTTGCATAATCACGTAATGGTGCTCTTTCAAAAAAGCGCTACTTTGAAAGTAAAACCGATGTCTAAATGTGGTTTACAGGATCTTTAAAAAAAGCCTTCCCTTTTCGAAAGAACCATGTCTAGACTGCGGTTTTACTTTCGAAATAGTGCTTTTTCAAAAGAGCGCCATTATGTGATTATGCAAATGAAGCACAGGAAATTCAAATCCCATCACCATGTCATGAAATTATTATTATTTATCATTCAGAGTATCCAGAATGACTTCCATGCTGGGTGTATAAAGAGATGCTTAAAAATCTATATGGCTGCATGGGAGCATTTTCTTTGCTGATTCTGGTACCCTATGTCTGACCCAGTACGGCCAATCTTATGTTCACTTCCTGTGTGACCATAGGCAAATCACTCAGTTTCTCTGGGCCTCAGAGTCACATCTGTAAAAGGGAGCTAACAGCATTTTAATACCCACCTGGGCATTGAGAGGACAAACTGAGTAAAGGTTGTGAGATTAGAGGGAACATGGCTGAGCATCTTTTTCCACCCACGTGCGGATTTTTTTCCATTAATGTGCAGAATATTTTGATGTGCACAGAGGCATGTGCCCATGTGCACCATCAGTAGAAACAAAAAGTCTAGCTGCAGGTGCTCTGCTAATCAGCTGGGCATCATTTCAATCTCTCCTGAGAGCCCACTCTAGCACTCAGTTTACAGGGAACGCCGTTGCTCAGTGCTGTTCCCTGTAAGCTAGGCACCTATGTGACCACTCGGGAGAGATTAGCAGACTGGCCACAACTGGGATTTTTGTTTCTACTGATGGGGCACATGGGCAAATGCCTTGGTGCACATAAACATTTATTCCACACCTAAGTGGAAAAGATTAAAGGGATCATTGGTGATCAGAAACTATGGTAAGGCAGGCCATATAAGTATCATGGATAGACAGCACAGATACTGTTGACAAAGCTTCTGTTGAAAAAGAGCATCTAGACTACATCCAGTTCTGTCAACAAAGCAAGCCACTTTTTCAACAGAGTCTAGATGCTCTCTTTTGAAAAAGCACAGTGTGGATGCAATAGCATCTTTTGTTGACAGAACTCTGTCGACAAAAGGCATTATTACTCATAGAATGAGGTTTACTGACATCAACAAAACTGCCATGTTTTGTCGACTTATTGTCGACAGAACACGGTGGTAGTGTAGACACAGGTATAGTTTTGTCGACAAAAGTCCACTTTTGTCAACAAAACCCTGTAGTCTAGACACACCCTGAGTGACTGTGCTTCCTGATTGGTCAGAAGAGCCAAGAGCTCACAAGTTAAGCTCTGCAGCTATAGCGCCTCAGTGGCTGCTCTATGTATTCCATGCCTGCAGATACACCAGACCTGTTCCCTGTCCAGTCTTTGTTCCACACCATACCCTGCCTGCCTCTGAACTCCTGAACTCCTAGCTCTCACCATTGGCATGTCTCCTGACCATAGATCTGGCTCTACCCTTTAGCTCTGGTTTGACTCTTGACTCACCTCCTTACCACACCTCCAGTTCTGCCCTGTGATTCTGCACTAACCACTACTCTGGAGTCCTGCTCCAACTACTAGATTGTACTGCCTGCGCCTCAGTGTGTGACAAGCAAAGGCTGGGGCCAGCATCTTCAAAGTGGACACAGCAAATTGGAAGCGTCTGAAAAATTATAGCTGAAGGGAAAATTCAAAGGCTGCAGGGGGCTGGATTAAGTATATGCCATACTGCTTTTGGGACACCAAATGATCCTAAAATGAAAGTTGGTGGGATTCTGCATGCACTGCTGCTTAGAGATTTAAGTAGAGGATTAAAAGCTTCAGTGCAGCAGTCTGAGCATAAAGCCACTGGAGGTGAGCAGAATAACTGGGCATTGGTAAAGTAATAAGTACATATTAGTAGGAGGCACAGAGGAGGTAGAATTCCAAGAGCCAAATTCTGCTGTTAGCTACACCAGCATAAATCTAGAATAACCCCATTGACTTCAGTGAAATCAATGCACCACTATACTTCTATAACTGAGGTAGAATCTGGCCCACTGGGAGTTTTGTGGGCATGACGAAGGTCTGGATTTGGCCATAATTGTCTCATGTGAAAGTCTCCATTACATTGTACAAAGTCTTCTGTGTTAAGAGAACTATGATTTCACCTCCAAATGAACCTGGGCCTTTCCCAATGTCATCTTGAAGAGAAAGGGAATTACAGCGTTGAAAGAGAAAGTCTCTGGGATTAGGAGTGGAATTTAGAAGGGAAAAAAATGTCACTCACATTTGGGCAACAAGAGGAAACCACCACAATTCTGCTTTGGCCTGGGAGGCAGGCAGCATTTACCATATGCTGTCAACTTCACTACAGAAGGAGACAACCCCCCCTGGAGTGTGGGTTGCAGAATTAGTGTGGTGGGGTTTCCTGGAGTTTATAACTACTCTGTGCCTGCATGTCTTTAAAAAATCGTACAAATCTTAAAAATGTTCAAGAACTATGTGCACACGCATGCTTTAATAAGTTGGTGCTAAATGGCTAGTGAGTCAGCAGTGCCTACTGAGAGATTAGCATTGGCTTGTGATTCATAATCAGGGCAGAGAAGGTAGGGGAAAAAAGCATGTTTACTCCTAGACAATGTATTAATCAGCCCTCTAAGCAGCCAGTGAGGGAGGGGTCCTTAGAGGAAAGCCTTTACCGGGTACACATTAGACATTTTGTTTAAAGATTAAAGTTCTTGTGTTTAATCAGTTTTAGAGCAGGATGGAAAATAGGATTAATTACAGTCCCTCGCATGAGCCTCCCATACTGCCAGAGTCACAAATGATGCGACTTTTCTGCAAAATGGCCGCCATCAGCAGCAGGCTCGGGAAATGCTAATTGTAATTAAAGAGTTTATTTGGAATCACAGAGCAGAGTTTTAATCAGGAGGAGAATGGAGCCTTGCTGTGTGAACTTTCAGAATGTGGTTACTGAGCAAGATGGGTCTTTCTAAATGAGAGAGAGTATTCTTTAAATTTCTGGCTTGGATTTTCAACCTGATACTCCTCAGTAGGAAATGAATACAGATCCTCAGCGAAACAATTCTTATTAAGTTGCTTTGATTCAGCGTTTATTATTCCGGGATCCCAAAGCACTTCAGTGCTGGGTAAATATAATCACCCTGGTTTTACAGGGAGATCAAGGGAACACGTCTCACTGTGCAGCAGATCAGAGGCACTGCTAGAACAGAATCCCAGAGCTGTGACTCCCAATCCCATCATTTAGCCTGTGTAATCCCCAAGGAGATTTCCTAGATTCCTGGGGCTCTGTCTGCTGGCAGTTCAGGGAGAGGCCCACTGTCCCTAGTAGGGTGGGAGAGCCAAGGCAAACTCAGAGTCTGACGGGCAACCAATAGGGAGTGAGATGCCCCTTCCAGCAAGTTGAGGGGAGGGGAAGCCATTTTTTTGAGTGAGTCTGGAGCCAGCCAGGGCAAGAGTAGGGCTGGCTATGTGGGGAGCTGGTAAGCCCCAGGCCTGCAATGCAGGGTTCCCCCTGAGAACTGGCCTCGAGGGACGCAAAAGCAACATTCCTCCGCTGGGCTTTTCCTTCTCCACTCCTGATTTGCAGTTTGTAGAGTTTGCTGGGAAACCTCCCCAGCCAGGCTGAGTTAGCCTTCCAGCTTCCTAGGTGAGACCAGTCACCACTTTGGCAGCTCTGCTCTGCTAGCTCAGGGCTGCTGCCGGCTGTGTGTGTGTGTCTGGGCGCTGGGCTAGGAGACTCCAGTTGGGATTTTAGTACAGTTGTGTAATCTGAATGCGCCTTGAGCCCTGCACCCCTTTGTGGTGAGGGGAAATCCTGGGACCGAATCCACCTGATACCTGCCCAAAGAGGATCCTTGCTAGCAGAGATCAGCCCTCTGCAGTGACTGAGGAGTCCAGAGTCATCTCTGAACCAGAGGATCATTCATGGAGTTTGTGAGTGCACCATCTTTTAGTTAGTCAGCCAGGGAATTTGTTTTGGGGACCCCCTACTCCCTGAAAAGTGTCAAGCCAGGGAGTAAGGGTTTGGGAATTTTATAACCTGCTGCATATTAAACTTGTGGAGGGATTTACCACTTTATCCTGCTTGTGAGTCCTTTGGGCTGTACTGAACCCAGTCAGCCACACTGTGAAACCACTGCAGAGAAGAATGTTGTGGTCATAGGTCATCAAGGGCCCCAACAAAATACACGTACCAACGGGACACTAATCTTACATTTGCTACATCAAGTCACGTGACTGGGGCAGTCACAGGTATTGGCAGCGTGGGCACCGGTGACCCTAAAAATAGTGGTTTACCCTGTTCTGTTATATTTGTCTCCTGTTTAACATAATTATTGTGTTGAACATATTGTATGTGTTTGTGTTATTTCTTGGAAGTCTCCAACTATCTCACAAGTATGTGGGGATTATCCTGTGGTTAGAATTTTCCTCCCAAGCTGCCCTGGTGATCCTGCCAGGAAGGAGTGAGGGGGGTGGAAACACCGCCAAATAAATCCATAGGGAAAAATAAAGAGGATACACCCCGCTGAGTGTGTGGTGCGATCCAGAAGAACCCAGACCTGTCCACTGAAATGTGTAAGCAGATTGGCATTAAAGAAGGTAACCAGGTGGAGAGGGGGCACTACACCAATATAAAAACCTGCCTCTTTTAATGAAAAGAGCTACACACACGATGCCCTCAGGGTATACAGGCTCCCGGAGGATGACAACCCACTGCTCTGTCTCCCAAGACTGGCTCCTCAATACACTACCCAAAGTTGAGCAGGATTTGTCAGATACTGCACAATTGTCACGTGCAACTTACCAGCATGCAAACAAGACTCTGTCCAGTCAGACTCAGACTTTGGGAAAACAGACACAGGTGGCGGTAAGCCCAGAGCACTTCCATCCAAATCCTTGAAGAGAGCCTTTCTTGAGCCTTCGCATCCCATCTCAAGAGGTGCAAAGTCCGTGGATCCATTGATGCTAATGGAGAGGAAGGGGAACATTAGTGCTGAGAAGGCAGGGAGAGAAGTCACATGGTATTGGCCTGCGGAAGTTATTTATCCCCAGGAAATGCATTTTTAAAAAATATATACAAATTATCCCCACAGAGATGCAAATTAACCTGCTTGCTCAAAAAGTGAAAAGGGGAAAATAAGGACTAACTGGCAAAATGTAATTATCGTGAGGAAGGTCTGACGTGCTCTGACACCCTGAAATTCTGCAACAATGTTTGATTTCGTCATGGATGGGCCTATCCTCAGAAATGAGATCCAGATAGCAACCTCCCAAACACAGTTGGTGATCAGACTCAGAAACCGGCTTCTGCCCCCTAGGATACAGCTAATTCCCATTCACCTCTCTGTGGAAGGGGCCAGAGCACCTCATGCAGTTGGCTCAGTTAATTGAAAAGACTGGCAACAATATCTCAGGGACATTCTGATTTTGCTTCATCTCTAGCTTTCAAACAGTTCAACACTGCAAAGAACCACCGCACCTCAGGAGCCACTCATCAGTATCCACAGACTTGTCACTCCCACGACATTCACAGCCAGATGAAAATGGCTATGCAATACAGTTTTATCTAGAAGCCAAAACAAGTCCACCTCATGAAAACTGAATTAAGCAATGTCCTAAGTAACTAAATATGACAGGCCTCCACAGTAATGGTCCCAAACTAGAGTTTGGGACAGACTCTGTCACAAAACTGAAAGATGGTGTAAGCTGGTTTTGGATGCCCTCATGAAATGAATCCTGGGATACGTTTCAGGAGAGCTTGAAGCAAGATTTGAATACATCTGTCATTGGGAGAAATTTTATGAAGGATAATGTTTCCAAGAGGAAGCCAGCGAACCCCAAGTAATTGGTGTGTGTGCCACCAAATAGCATCTTTTGGGTCACTGCTGGGGGAGAGAACTGGTCATTAGGTCTGAAACTCCAAGTAGCTTACTCCTCCAATGTAAATCATAGAACCATAGAATACTAGAACCGGAAGTGACCTTGAGAGGTCATCAGGTCCAGTTCTGCCCTAATGGCAGGGCCAAGAGCCATTGAGATCATCCTAATAGATGTTTGTCTAGCCTGTTCTAAATATCTCCAATGATGGAGATTCTACAACCTCCCTAGACAATTTATCCCAGTGTTTAGCCACCCTGACAGTTCGAAAGTTTTTCCTAATGTCCAACCTAATTGTCCCTTGCTGCATTTGAATCCCATTGCTTCTTGTCCTATTATCAGAGGTTAAGGAGAATATTTTTCTCCCTCCTCCCTGTGACACCTTTTTATGTACTTAAAAGCTGCTATCATGTCCCCTTTCAGTCTTCTCTTTTCCAAATTAAACAAGCCCAATTTTTTCAGTCTTCCCTCCGAAGTCATGTTTTCTAGACCTTTAATCATTTTTGTTGCCCTCCTCTGAATCGTCTCCAATTTCTTCACATCTTTCCTGAAATGTGGTGCATGGAACTGGACACAGTCCTCCAAACGAGGCCTAATTAGCTCAGAGTAGAGCAGAAGGATGATTTCTTGTCTCTTGCTCACAGCACTCCTGTTAAATTTTGTAGTGTGGAGTGTCATAGAGTCTAATACTACTCACCTGTATTACTGCTATTTATTATTGATGCTACTGCCGTGCTCAGCAACCCTAGTCATGAACCCTGTTATTCTAGGTGGTGTCACAACACAAAACAAAAAGATAGAGGCTCGTAATCTTAGTATAAGGCAAAAGACAACAGATGGATATGGACAGATGGAGGATCACAAGGAAACAATGCTCCGCAATCTGTCTGATTTCTTGATTTCTGATTTCTTATGCAATGCCTATTGATTGGTGTTTGGAACGGATCTGAGCCTTAACAGGGCAAATAAACAGAGCACAGATTTACTCTGCACAGCTCCAGAGAAATGGGTGACAATGGTTCCCAAAGTTGATCCAACCCTAGCATCGCACAGACATCATTACAGTTTGTATCTATAACCAGTGGGCGTCTCTTCTGGCTGGCCATCACCATGATATGATGTGCGCTCCCCATGTCCTCTTAGGATTCCTGCCCAGACTCTTACTCAAGGTTAGCTTTATGGTAATTTTGCAAAGGAGAAGCAGCACAAGGAGGCCATCACAAGGGCCTCAAATTGACCCACCATTTTTAAAAGCTTGGATTTAATACATGTCTGCTGATGATCCAGGAACAACAATAAAAATCTGAACTTTACCCACAGATTTAGCAGGATGCTCGGAAAGCACTTTGTTTTCTGTATGTCCATGCACCATGTGTGATAACCATCAGCTTTTGCAATGCATTGTGTGTGCAGCCAGTGACAAACAGTGTAATACTGTGGACTGGATTCAATGGTGAAATATAATAGGAACTGACGAGCTGGACAGTTCACAAAAATCCACACACACTCTAATGCCCAGAGCAAAAAGAGAAAATGCACTGGCAGCCTGCTGGAGGGGCTGTGGATTGGAGCAGCAGGGAACACCTCTGATTGGTTTTGACTGGCAACTGAGGTTCACGTTGGGCTTCATTGCTGCAGCAAAGCTTTCATGACAATGCCTGTGTACTCCATTCACCAGCTGTACAAATAAATAAACCAGCCCCTGTTTCCTGTGGATTCTGCATGTGTGTACTGCTGAAACCTCAGGTTACAGAGAAGTGCTCTTTCTTCCTGATCCATGTTCTGCTATGCTCAACAGATTCAGTCTCCAGGCGGGAGTTAGACTGGCACATATCTGACATCTCTCAATTTGCCTGATGCCACTTAGCACTGCTGCTGTGATCTCACAGGCAAAAAATCAAACTCTTTTCCTCGTACAAAAAGAGCACGTTAGCCACCTTAGGGCTGTTTGCTGGAATTCTTAATTTTTTTCTAAGGCCTGGCATTGAGGAGTCAGCTGTGGCCTAGAGTGAATATAAAGCTGCTGACTACCTGAAGCTACATTTGCTACACAGATCCTAATAATAGGAGAACTCCAGAAGGCTTTATTTGTGGTGGAGAGACGACAAAAAACATCTAATGTACTACCCAAACCCTAAGTCTTCAAATTTCAATTAGGACAAACAACTTTGTGAAAAGTCCAGGTTCTTCCATGTCTAGTACCAGATAGAAACGGTATAAAGAGCAAGAAGACAGACATACCAAAAAAAAAAAGAGTTGTATCCAACATTTTTATTTCAACCCACTATAGGAATTAGGTAATTTTGAAACACTCTGATTTGAACTAGAGTTCAGGTTTTGAATTACCCACTGTCCACGAAATCTGGGGTCCATCACCTAGGTTTTGGGTTAGGCCAGGAGTCCCCAAATTACAGCCCATGGGACACATATGGCAACACACCAGCATATTTAATACTTTTAACCCCTGGTCCACTTGACTTTCAGCATATATTGCTCCTGATCAAACACTATTTTCACTGCCCTGTAGAACTGCAGTGGTAAAACACGGGGTTCCTATAACATACTTGATCAAAACAAGCATGTTTGCACATCCACCAAAAAGCACTCTCCAGGACTTGAAGTAGCAAAGACAAAATTAAACCTGCAAGAGAGACTCTTCTCCATCCTTTTTCCCGTAGGCCCATGCTACTATATGCTATAGGGGGAGGAATAGCTCTGTGGTTTGAGCATTGGCCTCCTGGTTGTGAATTCAATCCTTGTGGAGGCCATCTGCAGCAAAAATTTGTCAGGGATGGTACTTGGTCCTGCTGTGTAGGCAGGGGACAGGACTTGATGACCTTGCAAGGTCTGCTCTAGGAGATAGGCAATCTCCACTAATTTATTCCCTACCTCAGCTTCCCTTTCCACTGCCCCTTCTCCCTACTTTCCCACCATACAACCACCTCTTCCTCCCTTCTTGCTTTTCCCTAATCTCCTAGCTACTTTGTTGTGCACACTCATAAAACGACTACTCGCACTTACTAACTTTCTCTCATCCCCTGCTGTCTTGTCTAGGTTAACTGTAATGTCTTTGGGGTAGGAATAGTCTTACATCTCTAGAGTTGTGCACTGGATGCTTATGATGTGGTTGGCATCCAGGAACCCAGCCCCACAATCAGCCACAGTGCCAACTCTGCCCACATATCTATACAAGCAAATTCATCACTGAAGCCAACAACATAATCTACCAAATCAAAGGCTCATTTAACCACACATCCAGTAATTTGATCTATGCCATCAAATACTAGCAATGCCCCACTGCAATATATATTGGACAAACTGGACCATCCCTATGGGAAAGAATCAATGGACACAAATCAAATATACATAAAGGGAACATACAGAAAGCTGTCGGAGAACACTTCAATCTACCTAATCACTCTTTAAAAGATCTCCAGGTGGATGTCTTGTCACAAACCAATTCTACAAGCCAAATACTCAGAGAGGCATTGGAATTATAATTCATCCACAAATTCAGTTCTCACACTGATAACCTTCTCAATTGAGATGAGGGATGGCTGGGACATTATCAACCTAACATTCAATGAAGGTGCCAACAGCTCTTTGCCTATGTAGATTCTTGTATTAATACCCTTCCTATCTAATTGCTATCCTATGATCCTTATCTGTTTCTTTTAACTATCCAATCTTTAGGTGCTTATAGATTACCAGTTCTGCCAACTTGTTTTTCCCTTTGATATTTTCAGACCCCCTGCTCCTTGTTTTCCACCCCCTTTCTTTTTTTTTCCTTCCCCTCTCTCCCTTCTCCCCTATTTATTTTGGGTCTGCACATCCTAAACTCAAAACCCTGGTCATCTGAAGAAGCTCATGATACTATCTATATGTTTTGTTAGTCTATAAAGTGCTACCAGACCATTTGTTGTTTTTAAAGTTTATATTATTTTCTATAACTGACCCACTCTTGCCCATCACAAGAGCAAGGCTGTGGTCCTGGAAGCTGAAAGTTTGGGGACCCATGGGTTAGGCCCGTCGTTAGCTTAAATTCTTGTCCCACTGCTCCTTATGAAAGAAATAATGTCTTTGAAGACAGATGTAACCAGTCAGAGGAAGTGCAGATTTTGTAGTGAGGTAGAAATAGATAAAGACATGACCACTTGTGTAACTAGTACTGCATATTCACCATAACCGGAGAAAAGGACTATTTATTAAGAACACAAAACACTACCTTGTTTGCAGCGTATGAAAGTAGAACTTATTCTGCTCATGGACAAGTGACATCCTCATCCTCTCTGCTGTGATTGGGAACATGATGCCCATGCTGTCAGGATTTGACATGATGCAGACATCTCTGTCATCGCTATAGCAACTCTTCGTGAAACCAGAAAAGGTGACTTCTGACAAAGATAAAAACACATCCCTTAGGGTGAGGCTGGGTGGCTACTGTTCAGGGATGAAGTCTGAGCCATGCATCTTAAGGCCTTGTCTATATTATTTATTAATGTTGCTCTGGAGTAAGTAAACTAGTTTAAAATCAGTCTACTTATATCAGCATAACTCCTAAACATGTAAATAGGTTTAAATCTTATTTACCTAAATCAACAGAACCATAGTTTAACCAAGCTTAAGAGTATCTAATGAAATGTTTGTGCTGGTGTCACTAGACCAAATTTAAATGGATTTAGTTACACTTGGGTAACTTTTCCAATATATTCCCATCCCAGACATGTCTCTGCCACAGACCTACTGTGTGAACTGAAGCTCAGTAATCCCCTTTCTGTGGAACCTACCTACTACACAGGATGTCAGAAATACCACTTAAATAATACCCTTAGGCTGTGTCTAGACTGGCAAGTTTTTCCCCAAAATCAGATGATTTTGCGGAAAAACTTGCCAGCTGTCTACACTGGCCTCTTGAATTTCCACAAGAACACTGACGATCTCATGTAAGATCATCAGTGTTCTTGCAGAAATACTGTGCTGCTCCCATTCGGGCAAAAGCCCTCTTGCGCAAATCATTTGCACAAGAGGGCCAGTGTAGACAGCACAGTACTGTTTTGCACAAAAAAGCACCGATGGCTAAAATGGCGATCGGGGCTTTTTTGCGCAAAACCGCATCTAGATTGGCCACATACGCTTTTCCGCAAAAAATGCTTTTGCGGAAAAGCGTCCTGCCAATCTAGACGCGCTTTTCCGAAAATGCTTTTAACGGAAAACTTTTCCGTTAAAAGCATTTCTGGAAACTCATGCCAGTGTGGACGTAGCCTTAGAGTACCTTGAACTTATAAATTGCTATTATGAATAAGAATGCAAAGTACATTTAAAAATGTATTTAACTTTTCCTTGTGTGTCTTCTCTCTTCTTTTTAAATGAATTTTAATAGCCATGTAGGTGAGAGACTAAATCAGAGTCAGGATTATCACAGATAGGAAGGTAGCCTCCCAACACCAATAAGCCTTTCAATTCTGACCTGAAAGGAAGCATGATCCTGTGGGTAACATGGGACTGGAAAGACCTAAGTTCAAGTCCCTCCACTATCACAGACATTTTGCATGACCTGGAGCAAGTCAATTAATCTCTGTGTCTCATTTCCCTGTTTGTAAAATTAGTAAAATAACCCCACCCTCACAGGGATTTTGCACATTAAAGACTGAAGGGTTCAAATACTATGACAATGGGGACTGCATAAGCGCCTACGCTGGACAGATTTGAAACATATCCAGCTGCTTCTGTAATGCAAATAATACAATATTATTTGGGATGTCCATTACATTTAATCCAAGAACTCAAGGAAAGAAAGGGCATAACAGGCCCCCAAACAGGATTTTACAGCCTTCCTCTAAGTGTATTAATTAATTATTATTGTTATTATTGTCCTACTTGTATTTATTAGCTTTCATTAAAAAGGACATTATATATATATATATATATATAT